GTAAGTACATGTAATATTCTTTTTTTTTTTTTTTAGTTTTTTTTTCTCCCTTCCCACTCTTCTCTTTTCTTTTATTTCCATTCTCATTTATGAATCCAAAAATAAATAAATAAATAAACAATAATAATAATAATAATAATAATAATAATAATAATAATAAGAAAAAGGAAAAAAAGAAAGAGTCTCATCTCACAACTATTCCACTCGTTTCTTATTCACTTTTTCTGCTGCGCTTCATTTTCACATTCCAGTCTTTTTTTTTTCTTTTTTTTCTTTTTCTTTTCTCTTCTCTTTCTGTTGCTTCTCAATCAATCAATCAATCAATCAATCAATCAATCAATCAATTCTTTTTTTTTTCTTTTTTCTTGAGTTTAGTTTTCTTTCTTTTTTAGTTTTTTTTTCTTTTCTTTTCTTTTTCCTTTTCTTTTTTTTTCTTTAAATTACATATCTGCAATCGTCATATCTGCTAACGGTGTATATGCATGTGTATATACAATTATATGTACATAAGAGATTTGGTGTTGGGTCCCCCGCCCCGTCGCTGCACACAAAAACCCCAACAAACAAACAAACAAACAAAAAAGAACAGACTCACTCTGAGAGTAAAACTAGATAGATAGATAGATAGATGGAATTAAAAAGAAAGAAAAAAGAGAAATCAAAGATATATCGTTCTTTCTTTCAGTTGTGCAAATACAAACCAAAGAAGGAAAAGAAAGGAACATGAGATAATAAATGTAGGCCAAAAAATGTTTACAGTTTTGAACTTCATTTTACATATTTCACAATCATAATAGAGAGATCCTTTCTTTTTCTTCCTTTTTTTTTTTGTTCTTTCTTTCTTTCTTTCTTCTTTTTCTTTTCTTTTATTTCCAACTTCCCTTTCTTCCCGTTGCATCCATACACACACACAGAGAGAGAGAGAGAGACACCGTCCACTGTCTCGTTCTTTCTCATTTACCCCCACAGTTTTGTTTTCTTTCTTTCTTTCATAATGTCAATCATCACATAAAAAGTAGAGAGACATCATTTCATCATTTCATTATTAGTGATATTATCGTTATCTTATCACCCTTTCCCTCTTCCATATCTCAACAAGAAGAGAGAGAGAGAGAGAGAGAGAGAAGCGAACGATAATATCGAACAATAACGAAAAAGAAAAAAAAGAAAAAAAGAAAACATAAATAAATAAATAAATATATATATATATATTTATAGACGCAAAAAGGAGAGAAACCCTCAACCACTACATCAACTACCACCACAACATCATCATCATCAATAACATGAACCACAGCACCACCACCACCACTACCATAATAATAATAATAATAATAATAATAATAATAATAATAATAATAATAATAATAATAATAATAATAATAATAATAATAATAAACAACAACAAAAGAAAAGAAGAAGAACACCCTCATTCCTATTCCCTTTTATAGTTTCAGCAATCTTAAGCACTATCTTCTTTAGTGCGTTGTTGTTGTTGTTTTCGTGCCTTTTTCCTTTCCCTCTCCACAGTTGCGATGGACATCATCTTCAATTCCCGCCGGTCGTGTATTTCATTCTCTGGGAAGTCATCTGCGAGATCATTACGTGCGGCCGCGGCGCCCAGCCACTTGCGGCCCGCCACGCCGGGCTCCTCCGCAGACAATTGCCGGCCATTCCTCTCGTAAAGATCATCCATTTCCAACTCATCCTCCCCCTCCTCATGGCGGGAATCCCCTCCAACATCATAAAGAAGAAGATTATTATTATTATTATTATTATTGTTCAAATGTTGTTGTTGTTGTTGTTGTTGTTGTTGGGTATTGTATTTATTGCTGTTGTCGATGTAGTGTTCGAGTCGGACGTGAATGTTAGAGGCGGGAAGTGTGCCGCGCCAGTGGGCCAAACACTTCGCCGTCGACTCCACGTCGCCCTCGTGCAGTTCGTCCAACATGCGCTGCAGCGCCACGCCGCAGACCCGCAGCAGTTCCGTAATGACACTTCCGCGGGCTCCCGTCTCGCCGGTTATTTCTACGGACTCCCGCGGGAATGTCAGCGCGGCGGCGGGGGGCGACAACACTTCACTATCGCCGCGTCTATTCCCACTTCCACTAATCCCATCAGCCGCCGCTGCCGGAGTTGGAGTTGTTGATGTTGATATTGATATTTCCCGTTGTTGTGGATTATGTGGATGGAGTTGAATAGAGTTTGTTGTGCTGATGGTGCCCTCGAGTCTCTCCGCGAGGTGACGGACGCCGGTGTCGACATCCACCAACAACTGTGCAAGCCATTCCTGTTCCATGCGGGTTTCCTCCAACTCATTTTGTCGATCACACAAGTGGGCATCAAACTCCTCCAACACACGACGCCGCACCAACGCCCGCTGCTCCACCACACTGGACATCGTCATTCCACTGTTATCAAATGGCTCTTCATTATTGTTATTATTACTGTTTTTGATGTTGTTGATGATGTTGTTGTTGTTTTTGGATTTCAGTAAACGGTTCGTACCACCGCATTGTTGCTGCATATCATTCCACTCTTCCTGTAATTTCCGTCGTTCCTCCAATAATCCCTCATTCTTCTCTTCCGCCTCCTTTACTGTACGTAAGAGTTGAACATTCGCATCTTGACGTTCCTTCAATTTAAACACCACATCTCCCACATTTGTACTCATAGTAACTTCCTTCAATCGATTATACGCCTCTCGTAGTTGTTGTTGATGCTCCAACTCCTCTGGTTGTAGTTGTTTCTGTGGATTCACACGAATCTTTTTCTTCTGTGTGTTACTAAGCGCCAATCGCGCCCGCATTCGACGCTCTTCATCCTTTTCCATCTTTTCACGTAATCGACGAGATTTCTTTTCCAGTTGTGTACGTTTAGACGATACAAATGCCTTTCGTTCTTCCAAATCTTTCTTTTGCTCTCGACGTTCTCGTGTGAGTTGTGTTTTGAGGGATAATACTTCTGCCTTTGCCGCATCTCGTCCACGTGAGGCTTCTGAAGCCACACTGTTAAGATCAGCAAGATCCTTTTCTTTATTCTGCAGAGTTTTTTCCATTGCTGCCAATCGAGTATCAAAGCCGGATTGTTCTTGTTGTAATCGCTCCAATAAAGTTTCATATGTTCGTCGAATAGCATTCACTTCATTGTGTTTAATCAAACACTTATCCAATCGATTCTCCAGTGCACGAATCTTTTGTCCAAGTGCGGAGTTCTCATCAATAGTGGCATCTCCCTCTTTAATAATGTAATTGGTTTCTTCAATAGTACGTTCAATCTCTCGTGCGAGTTCCTCTTTTTTCCCTTTTACACTGTTTAAACTACGCTTGAGCACACAAAGTTTATTATGTAATTGTTCTTCCTCCTTGCGGAAGTACTCATCATTTGTTATCCGCCGCTGCCCACGAATGGCCTGTTGAAGGGCAATATTCAACTGTGTATTCTCCAGCCGCATATTCGTTAACACCTCCTTATTGCGGCGAACCTCACCCTGGAGAAGATCCAACTGTGTGCGTTGACCTACATCAATCACAGACTGTTTCTTCTTTAACACCGCCGGGTCGTTATCAAACATCTTTTTTTTCTTTTTTTCTTCTTCTTTTAAAAGAACTCTTTTTTTCTTTTTCTTTGTTTTCTTTTAACCCCCCTCCCTCTCCTTTGTGTGTATGTATCTATATATATATATATATATATATATAGATGTGTCTGTGTTTGTACCTTGTTTCTTCTCTCTTCTCCTGTTGGTAAACACACAATCAGACACTCACACACGCAGAAAGAAAAGAAAAAA